AAAATGGTAGACGGTGTCTGTAACATAAGGTAGGCATCAAGGTACTTTGAGGGATGAGAAGGAGAAATGCCAGTATCTAGACAAGAGAAGAAGTCATTGGAGTGGTACCTCAGAATTTCCTCCAGATAAAGATGGAAGAGGAAGACATATTAGCCAAAAGGAACAGCATGAGAGAAAAGGGTGGGAAAGTGGGGGGAGAGGGTGTGCAGAGTTGGGAGACATTTGGGAGCAGATCCTAGGGTGTGTAAGGAAAATAAGGCAAGAAGGCAATAATGCAAGAGGATGTTAGAGTGCCTAACCTGCTAGCATTTGAGGCTCATCCAGTGGCTAGGGGGAGGACACACACAGGATTAGTCTTTCTTTTCCTTTTAAAGATTTTATTTATTTATTCATGAGAGATACAGAAAGAGAGGCAGAAACACAGGCAGAGGGAGAAGCAGGCTCCATGCAGGGAGCGCCATGTGGGACTCAATCCCGGGTCTCCAGGATCATACCCTGGGCTGAAGGAAGCCCTAAACCACTGATCCACCGGGGCTGCCCTTGTATTCTTTTGTTACAAAATAGATGTCAGGCTATCTGTATGAAAAGTTATTCTGGGCAGCCCAGGTGGCTCAGCGGTTTAGCGCCGCCTTCAGCCCAGGGCCTGATCCTGGAGACCTGGGATTGAGTCCTAAGTCGGGTTCCCTGTATGGAGCCTCCTTTTCCCTCTGCCTTTGTCTGTGCCTCTCTCTCTCTCTCTCTCTCTCTCTCTCACTGTCTCTCATGAATAAATAAATAAAATCTTAAAAGTTATTCTTACGAAGCCAAACCTCCAAAGAGGACCTTTTATAAAAATAAAGATGGAAGTAATTTTATTTTTATTTTATTATTTTTTAAGATTTTGTTTATTCATGAGAGACACAGAGGCAGAGACACAGGCAGGTGGAGAAGCAGCCGCCAAGCGGGGAGCCCAATGTGGGACTCAATCCCGGGACTCCAGGATCATACCCTGAGCCAAAGGCAGGCGTTAAACAGCTGAGCCATCCAGGCATCCCTGGAATAGTCAGTTCAGTGAAGGAATAGTTGTAAACACGAGAAAAAAGGGACACCTTGGTGCCTCAGTGGTTTAGCGCCTGCCTTCTGCTTAGGGTGTGAGACAGGGATGCGGGATCGAGTTCCGCTCAGGCTCCCCGCAGAGCCTGCTTCTTCTGTCTATATCTCTGCCTCTCTCTCTGTGTGTGTCTCTCATGAATAAATAAATAAATCTTTAAAAAAAAAGGAGAAAAAAAATACTCTATCATGTCTGATCACAGTGAAAGGTCTTAATTTTTTTGGGTTCTAACTTAGTAGTCACAGTAACAAGTGGCAATTCCAATTGAATGTTTATTCACCTAACAAATACCTGTCTCTAGACTCGATGTATCCTAGGTCTGCAGTGTTACTAAAATGAATGAAACATACTGCAAACTAAGATAGAGGTAAGAGGTTGGAGTCTTACTTCTGGAAGGTGAATTTCTAAAAACCAAATTGAGTGGTATGAGCGAAGATCTAAGGTAAGTCCCAAATGAATGAACTGCAAATGCATTAAACATAAATGGATATATCATCATTTTGATTTAAACCACAGGGACATGCTAGAAAGTTAAAGCTTGCAGAGTATAATCAGATAGCAGGGCCTTTAAAAAAAGAGAGCTATAAAATATGAAGATCAGGAGGAGCTTAAAAGCAGGCACCTGATACCTGGACATCTGCCCAAATTGTCTTTATGGGGCAGTCAAGAAGGCAGACGTTTAAAAATTTAAAGGGCAGATATGGTACTTTCGTTCTTGTTTTTCCATTTTATAGCATTATTTTTATTTATATACTTTGATGATCTCAGGTGCTCCGCAGTGTGTGCCAAAGACATGACATCCTGCCCCTTTCTTCGATACTCCAGAACAAATTCTTGCAGGTGGAGTTTCTGCCATTTATCATGGAGGACTTAAGAATACAAAAATATCAATAAATAGAACTTTTCATCCCCCCAAAGGACACAGTTGAGAGATGCCACGAATACATTATTGAAAGCTCTTGGACAACTGTCCATTCCCAAAGGCCCATGTTAGTTTTCTGGTTAATGTGGAGTTGTGACCTTGGATTTCTTGTTATTAAAAATGTTCATGTTTAGCATTAGGCCTGTGAACCCATGAAAGGTGGGTTCTTTTTAACCCATGAAAGGTGATGGCGCTTCTTTGTTACCACAAATTGCTTCTCTGGGCTCTTTGAAGAACCATCTAGAAGAGAAGTGTGGGATCACAGATAAGGAAGTGTGAGAGTCTGGGATATGCAGGCCCCTGAGGGGAAGGGTGCAGGGAATGCAGTGACCTTGGCCCTGGAAGGGGCAGTGCTGCAGCAGGCAAGTGGGTTATCTTCAGAAAATTGCCTTTAGAGGACAGAGAGGCTGTTCTTTTGGAAGAGCAGCTCCATCTCTCTCTCTCTTTTCCCTGTTTCTATCCGGTTTGGTCTGTAATGCTCCCTCCGCTCCTTCACTTAAGTAATTTATGGCTGGAGTTGAGTGAGATATAGTTCTGTGCAAACTGCAGAAAGTGCTGGTATTTATTTGTTTATTAAGAGTTTACTTTTAAGTAATCTTTACACCCAACATGGGGCTCAAACTCATGACCCCGAGATCAAGAGTCACATGCTCTTCTGACTGAGCCAGCCAGGTGCCCCAGAAAGTGCTGATACTTACTTAGAGCTTCAAAATTCAGATCCAAGATCTGCCATTTGTCAGAGCGTGACCTTGGGCACATCACTTGACCACACTGAACCTTGCTTTTCTCATCCATAAACAGAATATTTATATTTCGTGCATTATCTACCTCACGGGATTAGTGAAGATTAAATGAGAAAATGTATATGAAAGTGTATCGTAGTGTTCTGATGATGATTCTGATTATTATTATTTGAAAGCTCTGTAGGTGGGCCGATTCTTTCCACCTAGAAAAATAGAAGAGTCCTATTCAAAGTCTTACTAAACAGAAATCAGCACTAACTTGCTTATTTGAATTTTTATAATGAAGTACAAATGCAAGATAGATGGAATTTCTGAACAAGCTCCTGGCTGTTGAATAAATTTTATATATCTTAAAAACTGTCACAATATAAGTATTTTTAAAGAGATATATAATGGTTTCTGAAAATACCTGAAATGCCCATGCTTTTATAGATGTTTAAGTATGCAATTTGTTCTAAATGTCTAATCTTGAATGATTAAATAATTTGCATACTGTTTTCAGTGGCATGAATTAAAGGCTAATTGAAGTATAATTTTTTTGCAGTAAAATTATATCATCTTTTATGTAGTACATTTAAAAATATTCTAGGCCAGTTCTAATTTTATAGTTTTATTATTTTAATTTAATGTACCAAGTAATTAAAAATTGCTACGAAGAAAAGAAGATGAAAATGATTTTAGTTCATTTCCCCTTAACAGAGTGAAAAGATGATTAGGAGAAAAATGGAACAGAGCTCAACATAGTTCCTGGCACATGAAGATATTCATTAAATGCTTCATAATGAATAGGAATGGAGAATTTCTCAGTGTTTCTAGAGTTCAGAAAAAGGTGCCATTCTCAGTGTTATATAAAATATGAAGAAGATTGCTTGACATCTTTATACTAAAATACTTCCATACAGAGGTCACACAAGCCACTTTGACTTGAACCATTAGTTCAGTTTGCCCTGCTCACCTTTTCTCTTTTCCCTTTACTCTCAGAGTAGATTCTCAGCCCAAAGTCAGTCACAGATGTTGAGAGACCCTTCTCTATGGGTACCTTGCATTGAGAGATCTTGTAAGCAGAGGCACCGACTGCTCTTTGTTCTTGGCTGTCTCTTCAAGGAAGACAAAGATGGTCTCTCCCTCTGGAGCAAAGTGCAGGTTTGCTCATATCCTTGGAAGATAGAGTTGGTGTCTCCTTCCAGAACAAAGGAAGGACATGCTTACCATCTAGTCTAAGAAAGCTAATGCCTCCCTGTGAGACAAAAAAAGCAGGCATGCTTATTGTCCATTATAAAAGATTTGGGTTCCCTAAACTGAGGGTTCATCTCCTGTAATATAATCCACTGCATGGGCAGGATTTACGTGGACCTTGTTAGCTTGCAAGTAGGATAAAATCTCAAACCCTAAACAATTCTTGACAACAGGTTTCAGCAGTATTTGGGTAAGTTGATAGGTATGGTGTGGTGTAGTTGGTATACTCATCTAGGAAGTGAACACTCTTACTGCCAGTGGCCGACCCCATTTTGGGTATACTCAGGGGACCCGGGGTCTGCATTCTCAAGAGGAGATGTGAATGGGCATCATAGGGTCAGAAGTAAAATATGGAATGAGATCCAGAACTTTTGGCCCAGAACACTGTCTAAGATGATGAAGCCTCTGATAAGCATTGCTTTGTAGAGGTGATTGGGTGGAGGGAGAAATGTTTGGTAGAGGAAAGAAGATTCCATGAAGTTTCAGAGTAGCATGAAGTCATTCATGCTTATGGAAGCTGTAAATCGTGGTGTTGACACCTGCCATATTGAAGCTTATTAGCTAATTTTTTTGAGCCAAGAATATGCATTTTTGTGAGAACTTTGCTTTGACATCTTACTGCCTTGTTAGTTGTGCTCACTTTGAGTGCTAGTGGGTGACAGTGAGCATGCTTGTTCTGGAAACAGACATGATGGTAGTGTCTGGCACATTAGGTCACTGTGTGTTTGTGCCCCTCTTCGCTCCCTAATCTTTATAGTTTATTAAAATATTTCCCTAGTACCACTTAGGCAACATTAATAACATACAAGACTGGTCAATAACTGTGGATCTCAGAAGTCTCCGCTCCCTCGGGTGGTACCCTCAGAATTGGAACACATGAATGCTGCCTCCGAGAACCTGTCCTTTGCTTACTTCCCTGTTGTGGGAAAGCATTTAGGGTTGTTATAGAGATGTGCTCTGACGTTGTTAGCCACCCGGTGAAACAGCTATATTTTGTTCCATACCATAGGGACTTCTATCCGGCGTCAGCGGATTTTGCTCCCACCTCCTGATGAAGATCAGTTTTATACTGTGCATCATTTTAATATCAACATAGACGTTATCTTTTATGGCCGGACATTCAAGATTTATGACTGTGATACATTCACAAAAAACTTTTTGAAGAAAATTGGAGTCAAATTAAACCCCCCAGGACAGTGTCCAGAAGATCCTTACATGAAGATACGAAGAGAGGTAAGAAGTTATATCCATGAGTTCTTGTGTTCAGAATGAGAATCCATAAAGGAGGGTCAGTAAAGGGTATCTATACTCCTGATGCAGATATGAAAGAACTTTTGGGGTCCTAGTCACTGGAGTGGTCCTGTTCTCCTTTGGGCTAGAGGGAACTCTGGGTGTTGACATCAGGGCAGGAAAGTCTCACTCGCTGCCCCCGCCTCCACTTCTTCCCTTAGAGAGTGTCCCTTCCAGACAGTAGGGAGTCTGCAGTGAGCTGCTTACATGGGACAGGTTCTAAGAGTCACAATTGGCTTTGTGGTCTCTGACAGTATGAATTAGGTCCACTCTTACTTGGTCTCTTTTCTCATTTTGGTTGTCTAACTCTGGGACAATTTTTGCTTTTGTACTACTGATTTATTGTACCATGCCTTGGGGGGTATACCTTTTTCCTTCTTCCCCAGAACTCCCAGCTGTAGCTTTGATGGCATCAGATGTAGAGATGTTCTAGGGGAGTGGAAAAGGACCATGAGTCTGGTGTACCCTATTATAAAAGGGTGTTTGTCTTCTAAGTCTGACCCTAGTTAGTATAGGGAAGCAAGAACCGGTGTTAGTAGTAGTATTGTTGTCTTTCTAAAGATGTCTTTTTTTTTTTTAAGGATCTGTTGGTCCCAATTTTATACTTTTTATGGAAGAATCTGAACCCGCAGAATCTGAACACATGTGTCCTATGGAAGGTCACATACCTAGCCAGTCTTCTTACTGGGATTTCAACTTAAATCTTGTACTTCTTACCCAGAATTTCATTATTGTTGTTTTTTTTTTATTGAAGTATGATTAGACAGTTAAAATACACAGAAATTAAGTGTTCAATTGGGTGAATTCTTTTTTTTTTAAGATCTTATTTATTTATTCATGAGAGACAGAGAGAGGAAGAGACACAGGCAGAGGGAGAAGCAGGCTCCATGCAAGGAGCCCAATGTGGGACTCGATCCTGGGTCTCCAGGATCAGGCCCTGGGCTGAAGGTGGTGCTAAACCACTGAGCCACCCAGTCTGTCCAGATGGGTGAATTCTAACAAATGCATACACTCATGTAATCCACATCCAAATCAAGATACATAATGTGTCTATCCCACCAGAAACTTCCTCTTGGTTTTTTCCTTTTTTTTTAAAGATTTATTTACTTATGAGAGAGAGAGAGAGAGAGAGAGAGAGAGAGAGAGAGAGAGAGAGAGAGAGGCAGAGACACAGGAGGAGGGAGAAGCAGGCTCCATTCTGGGAGCCTGATGCGGGACTTGATCCCGGGACTCCAGGATCGCACCCTGGGCCAAAGGCAGTCGCTAAACTGCTAAGCCACCCAGGGATCCCCCCTCTTGGTTTTTTCCAATCGCTCTTCCCACCCTGGGATAGATAACCACTGTTCTCATTTCTATTCCTGTACATCAGTTTAGTCTCATTCCTATTGTCTCTAAAAGTTGTAATTTCCTTGCAGAAAGATAACATGATATTTAGAATAAAGTTCTCCTTTGATTCTGTTTTTTTTTTCCTTTTTCACATTTTCACCTAAAGTCTAGTTAGCTAATATACAGTGGAATATTGGTTGCAGGAGTAGAATTTAGTGACTCATCACTTACACATAACACCCAGCACTCATCACAAGTGCCGAACTTAGTGCCCAGCACCCATTTAGCTCATCCCCCACCCACCACCCCTCCAGGAATCCTCAGTGTGTCCTCTATCATTAAGAGTCTCTTATGGTGGGTAGCCCGGGTGGCTCAGTGGTTTAGCGCTACCTTTGGCCAAGGGCCTGATCCTGGAGACCTGGGATCGAGTCCCCCATCGGGCTTCCTGCATGGAGCCTGCTTTTCCCTGTGCCTGTGTCGCTCATGAATAAATAAATAAAATCTTTAAAAAAAAAAAGAGTCTCTTATGGTTTGCTTCCCTCTTTCCCTTTTCCCTCTTTCTCAGACCTATGTTCATCTGTTATTTGTCTTTCTCTGACTGACCTATTTTGCTCAGCATAGTACACTCTAGCTTAATCCATATTGTTGCAAATGGCAAGATTTGATTATTTTTCATGACTGAGTAGTATCCCATTTACTTCTTTATCCATTTATCAGTCAATGGAAATTTGGGGACCTGGACCCTCTTTTTTTCCATAGATATATTTTATGATTTTATTTATTTATTCATGAGAGACACACAGAGAGAGAGAGAGGCAGGCAGAGACAGGCAGAGGGAGAAGCAGGCTCCATGCAGGGAGCCCGATGTGGGACTCCAGGATCAGGCCCTGGACTGAAGTCAGCACTAAACTGCTGAGCCACCTGGGCTGCCCCATATATATATATTTTTAATTGAAGTTCAATTTGCCAACATATAACACCAGATTCTGTTTTGATCTCTTTTTCAAAGCTAAGTGTAGGGTCATTCATCTGTTCCACCTCCTGACCCCAGTAGAGTTATTCTTTAATGTTGTAAGCATGCAGCCCTCCTGAAAAATATATATTGTTGATCCTGGAATATTTAAGGTGAAGTCCCTGTAGAATTATACCTGTGTATATTGTCATATGAACAGATTTATAGTTTGGGTTTATTTTTATTTTTTCCAAATGCCCTAGATGAAAGAGCCTAGATAAACATAGAGTCTTTACAATGAGAAGAGAGAACCTAAAAGAATGGATCCATATGAATTACCACCTCTTGCATATGGCTGCACTCATTCACTCACAGTTGGTATTATATGATAGCGATTACGGATGATGCATTTTATTAAATACAGAGAGCACTGTGCCATTTCATAGGTTTATGAAGAAAAAAAATCTTTTGTGCCAGGAATAGAGAATAAATACCAGGAACAGCCAAGAAATGTTTTAACTAATTTCCTTTCAGGTTGGGAAAATCATTTTTGCATTTAATCCCTTGGGGAGAAAGCTCTTCAATAAATATAGCAATCTGTGGAAAATTAGGAGTTTAATAAGAGGCTTTTATATTGACTTTAATGCATTTACTTCTCCAATGTTTGCTGCCTTCAACTATAAAGTTAAAATTAAACAATTTAACTTAAACTGAAAAGAGTCCCAATGGTATATAATCAATAATGCATTCCTTAAAGGCCTTAGAATGCCAAAGAAATATTTTTCAGTAGATGAAAGTAGAGGTGCCATAATTTCATTTAAATATCCAGGATAAGAAGAAGGTAAGAGCCCCTGGAAGGCCACGATGTCTCCCCCAATCTTGCAGTTAGTCTGTACCCAGATTGCCCTGGTCAGATAGAGAATTCTGAGAATTGACAGATACGATTACATAAGCTGACAGGGGACTCCTTCCTTGCCAGTGAGCACTTCCTTATATAACGATCCCGTTTGGCTACATCAGATAGAATGAGGGCAGTTTTGCTCCCAAGACAGGGCCGAGAACATGCAAATAGAGTCACACCAAGAAGATCATAGAAGTAGTGGTACCTGGGCTGGGCGACAGAACCCACGCAGCGGTTCTGGGCGGCTTGGGAAATTCTCCATTTGCTCTGCTCCCGTCCTTCCTGATCCTTGATCTATAAAGCTTTGGAGTAAAATAAAACTGTGATCGTGTTTCTTCCCTTTTACTTATACAAAAATCTTTGGATGAATAAGAAGGATATACAGATAGGAATTCTCAGCGAAAAGATGAGCAGGTTTTTTGGGGGGGAGGGGGTTGAGATATAATTAACATAGACTCAGATGGATAAGTCTTAAGCATATAGATCAACAAGTTTTGGAAAATGTATGCAATTTAGTAAGTGACAAAGAAATCAAGATACGGAATATTTCCATCACCCCAGAAAGTTCCCTTCTCCCCCTTTCTGGTCAATCCCAAAGGCAATTACTGTTCTAATTTCTGTCACCACACATGAGTTTTGTGTGTTCCTAAGAATTTTAAGTCTTGGAGAAAAGCCAGTTTTAAAGGCGTCATAGAAGTGTATTTTAGTGTATTAAAACACTGCTTAATATATTTTTTATATAAATTTATTTTTATTGGTGTTCAATTTGCCAACATATAGAATAACACCCAGTGCTCATCCCATCAAGTGTCCCCCTCAACACTGCTTAATATTAAAAGCTTCCTACTACTTGACTGTAATTTTAAGGTGACAGCTGGCTGTAGATGTATATATATGTCATTAGTCAGTTGACCTTTAAAAAAATATCACAGAATAGTCAGTGGGAAAGGTATCTTTACGTTCTTTGATTGCTTGCATCCCAGAAGTGATCATGCACAACTGCTGTTCTTGACTTTTTTTTTTCCCTTTTCAGACTCTAGATTGCATGAAGCCTTTACGCCCCTATGAATCCTTTGATACCCTGAAGCAGTTCCTTGAGTATGATAGGAAGGTTTTACGTTTCTTCTGCCTATGGGACGACTCAGCTACCCTGTTTGGGGACCGAAGGGAGCTCATTCTGCATTACTTTCTGTCTGATGATACCATTGAAGTCAAAGAAGTGATGCCACATAACTCAGGCCGGGATGCTATGTCATTGTTCCTCCAGAGGAGAAAGCTACCCAAGGTGAGCGGCAGACTCAGAACCCCTTCCCGAGTTTGCCTGTAGGCTGAGAGACTCTCGCCACTCGCTGTCCAGAATGTTATGGGTTATGACTATGTCATGACCGTGTGTCACTTATCATATATGAGTACAGGTGTTTAAGAAACCTTCAATTTGTGCTATTAATACACATCTGTGAAAGTACCATAGAGGATATGACAAATCAGGGTTGGAATATTCTGGGTTTAATCAAGGCAAGTAAAGGAAAAAAGTGAAATTCAAGAGAAAGTGCATATTTATCGAGTTCATAATCAGTCTTCTGAAAGTAAAAGATTCTTTAGTTAAAAGAATTGTTTGTGGGGTACCTGAGGTGGTGCAGTCAGTTGAGTGTCTGACTCTTGGTTTCAGCTCAGGTCATGATCTTGGGGTCCTGAGATCAAACCCCATGTCAGGATCTGTGCTCAGTGCAGTCTGCTTGAGATTCCACTGCCCCTGCCTCCATAAATACATAAGTAAATCTTAAAAAAAACAAAAACAAAAACAACTGCTCATGCTCTTGAGTAGTGCCCTGGCCTCTGGCCTCTAAAGCCTACTGAGGAGATAGCAGTGGTTTTGGTCTGGGCTGTGAATGTACAAACACACATAGGCACACATGCACACACGCACCCCTGTAAGTGTATGCACAGGAATGACTCTTAGGAGAGTAGCCACCAGTCATCAACTAGCCACTGGCTTGCATCAATGACAGCTTTTACATTTTTCTTACTATCAAAAGACAGTTGTGAGACTGATTTCTACATGTTTATGGCCATTTGAGAGCTAAGTAACTTGAGTGCATCAGAAACAGCACAGAGACTAGAGGACCTGGGTTGGAATTATGGGTCTGCCACTTAAAAGCTGTGTGACCTTCAGCAAATCACATAACTTCTCTGAGTGTATTTCCCTATCTCTAAAATGCTGTCAACAGAGTATCTCTCTGGAAGTAACTGCAAAAGCTAAATGGGATAATATAGTAAAAAACAAAAAACAAAAAACCCACTAAGAACCTATGAACACTTAAAGGACACATAAAAACAAAGGTCTTTTCACAGCTCTGTGTTACATTTCACTTGTTATTTGGATAACATTTTTTAACATTCTTCTTTCTGCTACTGAGGAGGTTACCATAACACTCATTTCTGATTCAAACGACTTATGGTTACTTGGTCCTCACAGAAGCTCTCCCAGATTCTCTGAGCCCACCACCAGAAATCCTACTGTGCTGCCTGGGCTGAGGGGAGGAGGCAGGATTTGTCCCAGAGGGGGTTCTGAAGTATGCACAGCAGGTGGCCAGGAGGGGAAGCCTGTTTTTAGAATGGCTTTGACCGATACGCTAATTATAAAATAATAATGATGCACCTGACATTTGCAGTGTGTCTTGGTATCAGTTGCTTCATTTATTCATTCTTTCAGCAAATATTTATCAAGTGTCAACTGTGTGCCAGCTCTGGGGTTAGAGTAAAAAAGAAAATGGATTAAGTCCACTTCATGGAACTTACATTCTCACGGGGGAGAGGAAAAATAGCAGTAGGTATTCCCTTGACACTCAAACATACTTTGAGAAAACAAGGAATCAGGACTATTATTGCAGCTAGCTGACAAAAGTGAAGTTCTCAGAAGGTAAATATCAGGCTCCAAGTCCTGTAGCCAGTAAGTGGCAAAGACGGAATTTGCTCCAAGTGTACTGTTTTTCTGTTACATGGCTTACTTATACCCCACACTTCATGAATTCACACATTTGAACTGGCATTTTATGTTACACACATCAGGGATGATTCAGATTTCTCATCTGTATGTGATAAACTGATCACTATTGACTCACATAATTCAGTTAGGATATTTCCTGCAGCTCATGCAACTGCTAGGACCACCTCTAGTGCCTGGAACTGAGGAGTATCATGGATTGCTCTGGGCCACGGTTTCTGGTAGAGGCTGCCTGCACTTTTTTTTTCCCCCTGCCCCACTGAGTAACTTCTGTTGGCCCACTAGTGCTTCCTTGAGCTCAGGATTGGGCAGGATGCTAAACTGAGTAAAGAAGGCAAGGCATGGTTTCCTCCTCGGGTCATTTCGTAGTTCAGTGAAGAGAAAAGATGTCTGCTTATATGAGGCATTTAGAGAACCACCAGGAGTGGTTTAACCGTGTGGTAGGTGCTGTGCAGGTGTGGACTGGGGACAGGCCAGGAGGATGGGAAGGGTCACAGGAACGATGGGCCTTTATCACAGCCTCGAAGGATGATTGTGGAAGTATAGGGAGAGGGAAATGGAGTATGATGGCAGAGAAGAACCCTATTAGGGGCAGGGTAACCAAATTCCCCTCTACCCTTCTGGGTTCTCGGCTGAGACCACCCCCCCACCCCCATAATAACAAATTAAATGAAAAACCAACAAATGTTGAATTACATGCATATCTCCTGTATACATGAGAGAGACTCAGGAAAATGGAGTAACTCCCTGAAATGGCCCAAGCTACCTCCTTAAATACCATCGCCAGCTAAAGATGAAACAAGCTGCCAGGGGAGGTGGGAAGAAGGGTAGTTATAGGGGGTCACCAAGAAAAGCACAGTAAACAAAAGTAAGGCTGTGATGCAGATTTAGGTTGTCATCTTTTCCACTGATCAGAGGTCTTAGAGATCTCAAGTCTTCTTTCTTTTCGTGGTACACAGAGGGAGACACTCTTATAAATTTAGATTTCCTTTATCCATGTAAATGTCTTTTACAGAAGAGTATTTCAGCTTCTTCCATGTCTGTTGTTTCTTAAAAAAACCCAGCACACCCAAGAGGCCTATTTTGGGGTGGTGTGTTTGCTCCCCTTCATATACAATACCTATTTCCCACTTGAGCCCCTCACCATGATGGTTTTTGTGATTAGTAGGCCGTCTACCACACCTTGTATGGATTTTGTCTTCCAGTATGGCCCACCTGGAGTCTGTCAGCCAGGCCAGGTAACAGATCGAACAGTTCTTAATATTTATGGTGGCTTGAAAGAGAATCGAGTGGATGGCTACCTGTTGGATAAATACAAGGTGAGGAACCTTAACGTTTCGTTGCTGCTTCCAGTGTGACTTTCCTGGAACGTGAAATGTGCAGTGTGAGTCACAGATTGTCTTGTGAGATTAACTGTGAATGAAGTTAACGAATACATAAATGCACACATTGTACTGCTGGCTGTCAACACTAAACATGCTTAAGTGCTTGCTGTTTGCAAGCGCTATACGACTAAAAGATTTTCCAAATGTTGACATCAACTAGTTGTCTTGGTTTGATTTAAAAAGTTCTGTTATAAATGATATAATTGAGCGGGGTTTTTTTTAGCAATTTTTTTTGGGGGGAAGGTAATGCCTGGGTCTTTGGAGGGTCTATGATGCCAATACTTTGTTCCTGTTTTTATTAGCTAGGAAAATTAGATCAAGAGTTTTACAAAGATAGTGACCTATTCATAGGAGCCACCATCAATGTGTGGGGAAGGAAAGTACTTCTTTGTGACTGTGATGAATTTACGAAGACTTATTATAAGACGAAATACGGAATTGGTGAGTGATACATATGTACATTAGAAAATAATATTTAAAATTTAGAATCTTTGTTCCCTACTTAAAATTTTGCTTTTGAGTTTTAAATGCTCCTGAGAGCTACCATTTATTGAGCATTTGCTCTCTGTTGGGCATTTGTTGTCTTACTCGTTACTAATAACGACCCGAGGCTTATTCATTATTCCCATTTTTGAGATGAAGAAACTGAGGCTTAAGAGGGCTAACATGTCAAAGATTATGCAGTGAGTAAAGGGTGAGCTGAGATTTGAACTTGTCCGCCTGATACCAGAGGCTTCTGTTTTCCTTTATAAAAGCCAACCTCCCGCCTTACTGCAATATAGGGTCAGTGTTTTCTGGTTGAGCGACTGAAATGGGAATCTGAATGCTTTTCTTTTCACTGAATTCTTGCTGACTACAATGGATATACTGTGTCTTTGAGTTCTCTGGGGGAATTCTCTTGTGCCAGTTTGCTCTACCTTTTTCTGATGAAGCCCTGCTATGTTTCCAGCTTTTCTCTCTTCTTAGGTATTCTATTCAGATGAGTCCAGTTCAGAATGAAAACAGGTGATTTATTAAAAACCTACCAGGCACAGATTATTGTGGTAGGACTTAGGAGCTACAGAGTCAAAGAGTTTCTTAGGTGGGAAGGAGAACAGAAACCTACAGCATGTTGGATGGTGTTATGGGAATCATGGAAGCAGGGGAGGATCTGATACGAAACCTGAAAAACAAACCCTTCATTTGTGAAACCTGCCAGCCGGCTCTGCCCTCATCCTGGGCCCTGCTCCAGGCACCTGCTGGTGCTAGGCTAAGTACAGGCTGGTGGGACTTGCCAACCTCCCAGGTTGGGGTTTGGCTGGGGTGGGAGTGCTGCTTACTCCTGCACTCCTCTCTGAACCTTGGAGTGTTCATATGAGCACACTTCCCTGAGGGATGAGATAGAAGCCAGAAGCAACCACAGCTTCCTAAAAGATAAGGTGCTTTTTCTCTAGAATGAGATGAGCACCTCTTGTGTTTTGGTGTCCCATTAGTATTCCTGGCTTCCTGGGAATCTCTCTCTCTCTTTTTTTAAGATTTTATTTGTTTATTGATTAAGTGAGTGATTGCACAGGGGGAGTGGCAGAGAGAGAGAGAGGGAGAGAATCTCAAGTAGGCTCCATGTCAATCGGAGCCCAATGCAAGGCTAGATCCTAAGACCCTGAGATCACGACCTGAGCTGAAACCAAGAGTCAGGTACTTAACCACCTGAGCCACCCGGGCACCCTCCCTCCTGGGAATCTTTACATCACGGGAGAAGGCAGAGCACACACAAAGGATTGGAATAAAGAAGACTTTCAATTTCACCCCCCTTTTTTTTAAGATTGTATTTATTCATGAGAGACCCAGAGAGAGGCAGAGACCTAGGCAGAGGGAGAAGCAGGCTTGCCACGGGGAACCCGAAGTGGGACTCGATCCTATGACCCCGGGATCATGACCTGAGCCAAAGGCAGATGGTCAGCCACTGAGCCACCCAGGTGACCCTCACTCTTTGGTTCATTAAGGGAATTTGTTCCATTGCATCTGTATGCCAGATGCATTAAAATACGTGGGCCTTGTAGGTCCACATTGGTGGTCTCTTATTTTCTAACATTTATCCTCTTTTGTGGACACAGTTGGGCATACTAGTTTTGGGGACTGTGAACAAGAGGCAGCCAGGAATGTGCATGTGGTAGCTATTATAGAGAAGTTGCTAGTGGGCTATAGGTCTTTGGGAGGGAGAATTTGGTTTTTAATAAATGTCGATACCTGTTCAGAGTCCATAAGTTGTCAGTACAGACTTAAAATTTGAAAAAAAAAAGAAAAGATAAGGAAACTGAAAGTATGGACTCAAATCATACTGAAAGATGATCATAACATAAAGGATGGGGCAAAGTTTCCAAAACATCATGTGATCCCTTCAGTGGAGAGCCCAACATTTGGTCCATGATTGTCCATCACCTTGATTTTGAGAATATAAAGGTGGCATTTGGGAAAATGAATATGATGATGGTGAGACATGGTACATTGTTAGTCTCTTAACAGGTTTTCAGGGAAGTTGCAGAGGCAGAGTGAATTCAGTGGCATACTCTAAATCTAGCCATCCTCAGCAAATGAATCCACTTCACATGCCCAAGGGTCCATTTGTGTTGAGCCTTAGTGTTTAATTCCTTTCTGCTCCCTTCTTTTGTTCACTCTATAGGATTATGTATTATGTAAAAAAAAAAAAGTGGTTTGTGCCTTTAAAGCTAATATAACATGAGCATTATGCATTTAAACAGAAAATTATGCAAATGCAAAATTATGATGCATTTTATAGTCACGCTGACTTTTTAGATTTCTCATAACATATGTTAAAATATTCCATTTAACAGACACTATTATTACACAACATTTCTTAAGTAACAACAGTGTACTTAATGTAAGTAATGACTAGAAATTACATCCGTGATGCAGCGGAGGCGGGGGGTGGGTGGGTTGTGAATCCGTGTTCCCTGATAATCTTTATGTTGCCATTTCTGACTTTTTGGTAAGGTTAAATTAATGTACTTAATGTTACTTAGATACAGTTACTTCTGACATTTTAATTTTTATTTAGACTTCATCTGCTTCTATAAATTCATCAGACCAAATTTTATACATCATACTTGGGTACATTGGAGCTCAAACCAGAACAAATTCCTGCTAATAACTGTAGTCCCATTTCCTTCCGTGTCAGTAATTGTGGTCAGTAGAATACCTGGTGTCTCCACTCCGCAGCACCACAGGAAGGAGATGACAGGTGCTAACCACACAACTAGGGACCTCCTAAAGGGAAGCCAGTGGGGAAGATTCATAAATGCAGCCTTGGTGCTTTTTCCAAGAGGTATTGGTACCCTGGTGTAAAACCCAGTTTGTCTCCTAAAAAAGATAAATTTTTTTTTTGTGTGTGTTTAAAGATTCCAAGGAGAAAGCAATTCCATAGACTTCTTCCGCAGAGCATTCCAATGTGACTCTCCCCCCTAGGTCGCTTGGCCTTCCTGCTGGCCCTGGCTCACCTGCTGGGCTGTAGCATGTCACTCCCTCATTATTTCATGTGGATGAACACGGACTGGCAGATGGAGGCCTGTTGGACTTTCCTGTAGCATAAAGGTTAGAAAAGGCTCCAGGGGCTCCAGCATGTGTTTCTTTCACTGAAGGAATGGGGACGTGAACGTAAAGTGTTCTTACCTTAGAACGCCTGTCTTGGATTATTATTTCTTTACTATAGGAGAACTTGCTATCATCTATTCTTAGTGGCTGGGAACCAAACTAGTAAAAGACCAGCTATTCTCACTGCTCTTGAATACTTATTAGGCTGTACTGACATTAAGGATGAGCAAATTCTTTTAAAAAATGATTTTATTTATTTATTCATGAGAGACAATAGAGAAGCAGAGACATAGGTAGAGGGAGAAGCAGGCTCCCTGCAGGGGAGCCTGATGTGGGACTCGATCCCAGGACCCCAGGATCAGGACCTGAGCCCAAAGCAGATGGAAGAGCAAAATTCTTAAATCATCTTTAATTTTGTGGTGTTATTTCTGGCCTCTTGATGAACTCTGAACTCTTGGTGCTGGAAGCAGTGGGACATCCAAGATAAGAGTTTTAATGATCATTTGAGCAAATTAGCTATCTTAGGCTGCAATAATGGAGTAGACTTTGCCTCTCGTTGCACCACATGACCCCAATGGATCTAACATTTTTTCCTCTTTTTCTTCCCTTATGAAGTACAGAGGATTGAGGAATGGATGATCCCTAAGGATGTTCTAGCTAGAGCTCAAAAAGTGTGTGATTCACTAATTATTTGACCCAGAAATGAACATCTGACTCAAATCATTTGACCTGGGTATATTGGGTACAAGCAGAAGGGGGTATGCTTTGATGTTAATGAAGTTAATGAAGCTTGAGCTTTAGGGTTCTTCCTTTGCAGGAGCCCCAGTCAGAGGCCCTGGATCTGATTTTGTCATAATAATTTGGCATTCTTTGTGTTGAAGATTTCCTCCCAAATTATGTTATAGGCTCTAGGCCTCCCCAAGTCCGGGTCCATATCTGGGTTACTAGAATATACAAGATGAACGTTGAGGTGATTGAAGGCTTTCTCCAGCACTGTTTCCAACTGAGATGCAAATATTAGAAGGGGCATTACGATTCCTTTTAAAAACCTAGCACCTTTCTGTAAATTTGTTGGAATCTAGTTAATCGTGCATAGACAATGGTATATATGTTTTTGCAAGTCACTGGGAATTAGAGGAATCAAACCATTGGAAAGACAGATGTGTCTCAGGGTTCAGCAGAACGCCGCTGGAGAAGATGTTTGGGAAGATGCTGTGTATAAACACACATAATTTTTCACATAGCCAACAAATGGTTTTTAATACCTGAAGCATGCAGGATGCTGGGATGATGGAAAACCAAAGGCAGGAAACATTCTGGTGCAAGCCTGAAGCCTTGCGAATGTACACAGTTATCCAGATTTCTCTGGATCTTGGGCCAGAGGATCCAAAAAGATGTACGTGGTACAAAAAAGTCAAGCATGATGGAGTGGGACAGTTCTCGCCTTTTATACACTAGATGGCACTGTGGGTGCAGAGGAAAACTCTAAATTGGTTCTTTTGTTACTTAAATCTGTTGCAAAAATTATGTAGTTAAGAAAACAGCACTGTTATAAAACCTGTAATTTGACGGGGAGGTATAGAATGCATTCTTAATTACTTCGTGATTCAGTATGTGTCTTCTTTTGGTTACACTGTTCAGATTAGTATGGAGAGAGTTGTGTGTGTGTATATGTCCCCTGTCATAAGAAACGGATCATGGCCCAAATAATTTCCTAATAATCACATGGAGCTTTCCCTGCCATCCTACGGTCCTTTACCTGAAATGAAGGTTCTAGTCAGTGGCGTGTTTAATTTAATGGTCAGCAATGATAGGGTCTGCTGTAGTTCAGCCTAATTCCAAGATCTGAACTTTCCTCTTCATTACCAAGGTTTTAATTGCCACAAAAATAGCAAGAGGGGAGGCTCTCAAGTCACTTCTGTATTGGCTGCCTGGCTGCTCCCTTTCACTGAGCCAGTGAGAAATCTTTGATGGCATTCTCTCTGCCAATATGTCTTCTGTGAACGGTTTCTGTTAGGGTAGAACAATACTCTTTTGGGGATTATGCTTGAGGGGATTTCGTGCAAAGGCTAAGAAATAAGGAAGTCTAAGGAAATACAAAAGTTGAAAATGTCTTCCAATCAGAGTTAGAAATAGCCTCAAACCCTTTGCCTTTCTTCGATCCAGCAGTAAAACAAAACAAAACAAAAACAACAAACATGCACAAAAAAACCCTCAATTTTAAGAATTAGGTTGCCTTGGATGACAAATTGATGCACGTTTCCAGTTACAGAGGTGTGCTCTAAATCTGTACTCTTGATTCGGTTAGAACTTTGACAGAGGAAAAGGAAATCGTTGTTTATATGGAACTACTCTTGAGTCAGGAATGGCAGCACCTAGGGTACACTCAAGGTTGGAGAAGTAGAAGTTCGATTCCATGAGTTGTCTTGTGTTTTGCTTTCGGGAAGATCCTGCCATTTTCTTTGCCCTTTGGATAAACATAAGTAAGTGACTTGGAGCCATTGGTTCAACATGCTAGTCGCTCTGGAGAGCATACACGCTTCTCAAAGATTATACAGCCTCACAAATGAGGGCCTGAAAGCTCCCAGGCTGTTACATATATGTCCTCAGCTCCCTGTCCATCTCTCCCTCCTCGCAGATGAGAAGTACATGAGGAAAATCAATAGTATTTCCAAGTAACACTCCCTTTGAGTGAGTCGGCAGAGGTGATTTTTAAAGTTTTGTGTATTTGTTATCGGTTTTATTTTTGTTTTTTGGGTGGGTTTTGGGCATTTTTGCTTTGTCACATTTTAGTACAATTTACGTCTTTTCTTGGACAGTCACAAGAGCAACCTGGAGCGGTGGCTGGTGAGAGGAAGTTTTAGTTTTGTTTTGTCACTAGATGGGGAAGTGCCGTGGCCTGGCGTTGAGGTAGAGGAAGGAGAGAGGCCTGAAAATGTGGACACAGGAGGGAGGGGACAGTGGATGGGGAAGGTAAAGGCTAAACAGTCAGGAATCAGTCCTGTTTAGAAAGGAATTTGATTAGTGGGTGTTGGCTGAAGTTAGGAGAGGGCTGAGTCGCAGGTTAAAACAGGCTATGGGTGGCAAAAGGTTCCAAGTTTGAATTTTCGTTATCATTGGGAAAATCAGAAAAGAACGAAAAATAGTCAGACATGGGGATGTGATGACAAAAGAGAAATGTTTACTTATTTGACACAGGCAGTTTCTTTTTTTTCCTTTCTTTCTTTCAAACCAATGGCGATTATTGAGTGAGTTCTGTGGTTTTTATAAACATGATTGAAACCTACCCTCACAGGGTTTTGCTGTGTTTTGTTTGAAAGAGTTTAAAATAGTCCACACAAAGCTCTCCATGTCCATCTTGAAAACATAACAAACCTTTCAAAACAGCCACAATCAGGGCAAAAAAAAATATTGACGTTTCATTTGCCTTTGTTTTGTTATAGAGAACTTTACCTCGATTCCATGCAAGGCTCCACCTCTTCCAAAAATAGAAAGGAAATTTCCACCTTACACCGGCTTTGGTTCTGAAGAGGATTCTCTCCGTTCCTGTATAGGCCTCGTGCCCACACCTCATCAGAGGGACTTCAAGAAGGTCATGGAAAAAGACAGGTGCTTGAGGGAACCCTGATACCAGTTTGATCTTTCCCAAATGCGTTCAGGGTTTATAGTGGCCGAAGACATGACACTCAGCTCGTATAATTAAAAGTCCAGGCACAGGGATCCCTGGGTGGCGCAGTGGTTTAGTGCCTGCCTTTGGCCCAGGGCGTGATCCTGGGAGACCCCGGATCGAATCCCACATTGGGCTCCCGGTGCATGGAGCCTGCTTCTCCCTCTGCCTATGTCTCTGCCTCTCTCTCTCTCTCTCTCTCTCTCTCTCTGACTATCATAAATAAATAAAAATTAAAAAAAAAGTCCAGGCACATACCATTATAGCTTTTTAATGAAATTGATTAACATACAAGTATTAAGAGGTCCTCAATTGAGTGGTTATTTTATTTATTTTTTTGTCCCAGTTTTATTGAGGTGTAATTGACATATAACATTATGTTATCTTAAGGTGCGCAACCTGACTGGATATGTATACATTTTGAAAAAACGATCACCACTGGAAGATTAGTTCACATCAGTCACTTCACTTAGTTAGGATTTTTTTCCTTTTGTGATGAGAACTTTTAAGATCTACTCTCTCAGCAACTTGTAAATACACAAGAGAGTATTGTTAACCACAGTCACCATGTTGTACGTTAAACCCCTAGGACTTCTGATCTTATAACTGGCAGTTTATACCTTTTGATCCCCTCTACCCATTTTGCCCACCCCTACCCCCACCTCTGGCAGCCACCCATCTGATCTGTTTCTGTGAGTTTGGTTTTTTGAGATCCCACATGTAAGAGAGATCATATAGTATTTGTCTTTCTCTGACTTATTTCACTTAGCATAATGCCCTCGAGGTCCATTTATGTTGTCACAAATGGCAGGATTTCCTCCTTTTTTATGTTTGGATAATATTCCTTTGCGTATGCGCATGTGGCATCTTCCATATCCATTTATCTGTTGCTAGACGCTTAGGGTGCTTCTATGTCTTGGCTATTGTGAATAATGCTGCAGTGAACACAGGGGTGTGGGTATGTCTTCGGGACAGTGATTTCATTTCCTCTGGATATATACCCAGAAGTGGAGTGGCTGGATCATATAGTGGTTTTAATTTTTTCAGGAACCTCCATACTGTTTTCCAAAGTGGCTGCCCCATGCATTCCCACCAACAGTGAATGAGGGTTCTCTTTTCTCCACTTTCTTACCATCGATTGGTTATTTTATTATTTTTATTTTTTAAAACACGAATTTGCTCGCCATCCTAATGACACAGGAGCCCTGCTAATCTTCTCTGTATTATTCCAGTTTTATTTTATTCATTTACTTATTTTTAAAGATTTATTTAGGGATCCCTGGGTGGCGCAGTGGTTTGGCGCCTGCCTTTGGCCCAGGGCGTGATCCTGGAGATCCGGGATCGAATCCCACGTCGGGCTCCCGGTGCATGGAGCCTGCTTCTCCCTCTGCCTATGTCTCTGCCTCTCTCTCTCTCTCTCTCTTTCTCTGTGACTATCATAAATGAATTAAAAAAAAAGAATCTTTTAAAGATTTATTATTTATTTATTTATTTATTTATTTATTTATTTATTTATTTATTTATTTATGATAGAGAGAGAGAGAGAGAGGCAGAGACACAGGAGGAGGGAGAAGCAGGCTCCATGCTGGGAGCCCGACGTGGGACTCGATCCTGGGACTCCAGGACCGCGCCCTGGGTCAAAGGCAGGCGCCAAACTGCTGAGCCATACAGGGATCCCCTTGTTCCAGTTTTAGTATATGTGCTGCTTAAGTGAGCACTTGAGTGATTATTTTAATGTGTAATCTGGAAGCCCTGAAAGTTTTATTATCCCCAAATTATGTTGCCTTTCCATACACATATCTCCTTAAGATGGTCCCTAGGAAGTGGTATAGAGTAGGGGTCAGTAAAATTTTTTGTTAGGAATCAGATCATAAATATTTTTGGCTTTGTAGGCATTGGGCCTCTGTTACAACCACCTAGCTCTGTCATCATAGTGTGAAAGCAGTCAAAGAGTCCATAAACAAATGTGTGACTGTGTTCCAATAAAACTTTGTTTATGGACATTGACATTTGAATTCCATACAATTTTTTACACATTACAAAATAATATTCTCTTGATGTTTCCAACCATTCAAAAACGTGAAAGCCATTCTTAGCTCATAGCCCAGACAAAACCAGGTGGCTGGCCATATTTGATCCACATGTTATAGTTTCCTACCCTTGGTATAGAGGCTTTAGTGACTCTTAAGTATTTTTCAGAATAATACTTGACAATTATTGTTTTCACTTGAGAGGTTTGTTTGAATTTAGTAACCATAGATTATTCCTATGGCTGAATATAATTTCAAAAGATGGACTTTCAAAGGTATTCCTCATATATACAAGGAAAAATCTGCTGTTCCATCATGTGTATAGAATGTGGGCACTACCCATGGCTCCTTTTTATTTCTGCAGGGAGAGCAGGCCCTGGAGAAGTTAAGTTGGGGAAAAAGTGGTGGGAGAATGTTGCAAACGTTTGAATAAGATGTGGGCTAAACATCGAAGTCCTATGCGAGGGGAAATACTGAGTCAGGAGAACTGGTGGTGAAAAATGATAAAGGAAACATGTAGTAAGACCAGAAGAAGGAGATGAAAAAGCCTCCAGAATTTGATAAAGTTAAATGGGATCAGATACAATTGTAGAACATTTTGACATAGACAGAAGAATAGTTTTGCTTTATTTGTAAAAGTGGGGAAAACATACTAAGAATTGTATAGAATACCTAGAAGGTTGTCTTGGCCATGACATGAAGGCTTTTGCCTTTTTTTTTTTTAAGATTTTATTTATTTATTTGACACAGAGAGCACAAGCAGGCAGAGTGGCAGGCAGTGGCAGAGGGAGAAGCAAGCTCCCCACTGAGCAGACAGCCTGCTGTGGGGCTCAATCCCAGGACCCTGAGATCATGACCTGAGCCAAAGGCAGATGCTTAACCCACTGGGCCACCGAGGTGCCCCTGGCTTTTGCCATTTTAAGAAATAATCCTTGGGGCGCCTGGCTGGCTCAGTTGGAGGAGCATGTGACTCTTGATCTCGGGGATTGTAGGTTTGAGTCCCATGCTGGGTGTAGAGATTACTTAAAAGGAAAATATTTTTTTAAAAAATCCCTTATTTTTAAGGATTTTAGAGTTCTGTTTTTTAAGTTGTAGAACTGATGGTTCTACAACTGGTTAGAAATACTGCTACTTGTGCCTCATCCTAGACCTGTTAAGGCAGAAACTCTGGGGGTGGTAGGACCTGTACTGTGTTTTAATCAGCCTTCTGGGTGGTTTTGATGCACACCGGGCTTTGAGAACCACTAATTCCAATCACAGAAGAGGGACACCAACTCATACTCAATCCTCCTTAACAGATAAGAGTTTACAGGGCAGGACTTCTGATGGATACTTTTCACTAACTGCTGCTTTTTAGGGCAGCCACCCGAAGGAGGCAGGCAAGAAGAATGTCCCTATTGTAAAAGGAGAGGGAATTTTTCTTATAAGTAAACAAGATGAAATATGATCTAGGGTGTTGCTCCTGGAACCCCGGGGAGGGGGGAACAGCTCCTCGTGGGTCATTGCCTTTAGTCTCTCTCTCTGTCTACACCACATCAACTTGCCCACAGGACACTGACTGTAGACAGCATTCCACGTTCTTGTCCTGCTGCCCTGGCTGGGCCATTGGTGGTACAGGCACAAATGTGTCTAATTTTGTTTTTTTCTGTCCACTGCTTGTTCCATGCTAGGAATACACTTCCTCAAGCTCCTCCTACACAGTGACCTTGTTTCCATAGTAACTGGCACATTCAGCTGGCGATTTACACATGAGTGTGAATAACTCAAGGTTTTAAAACTGTGAGAACCTAAGGAAGATGATCTCAGAGAGCATGTAGAAATGGGTTCTTTTTTTTTTATAAATTAATTTTTATTGGTGTTCAATTTACCAACATACAGAATAACACCCAGTGCTCATCCCGTCAAGTGTCCCCCTTCGTGAGAAATGGGTTCTTAATGCAAATACACTGTGGATTGAGATGTACAGTTGTGTGTGACATATGTTGGTTATATGTACGTTGCTGTTAAAAACTTCCTGGGTACTAACTGTTGTATGAGGTTAATGGTGATCAACTTTGAATCATTGGAGGAGGAAATAGTTCCAAATTAGAGCACATCAGGTTTTTGATGGAACAAAGGCCTTCATCTTCTGGGCAAAAATTCACTGTGGTGGCCTGCTGAGCAGATTGTCTAGTCTGACTTGGGAGAACCAGAATATCTTTTCTGGCTGCACTGGTGGAATTACTTTGTTCTGTGTGTGCCCATAGTACTCTACTGGTCATACCTCTAGGAGTAGTAGTAATAGTAGTAGTAATAGTAATAATATTACCACTACTAACAAGCAGTTTGTGGTTATGGTGTGCTAACTACTTTATGATACTTGATCTCATCTATTCCTCAAAACAATCTCATAAAGTAAATAATACTGTGGTACCCATTCCTCACATGAGGGAACTGGGGGGTCAGAGATGATATGCAATTTGCCTGAGCTCACACAGCTAATTTTTAGTTGAACTAGAATTTGAACCCAGAGAGGCCTGTCTCTTGGAGCTTACTTTCTTGCCACAGAGCCTGAACTTCCCACAGTGTGTGGCAGTTACTTGTTTATGTAATCGTGGTATCCCCCTGGTTCAAGAGCACCATGAGGGCAGGGACTGGCTCTGCTGTGTCCCTCAGAGTTAGAACAATGCTGGCTACCTTCTTGGGGCTCATTAAATATTTTGTCCAAGAAGAGAAGCAATGGATAAATAAGTAAGCAAATAGAATAAGCTTCACCCTTCTCATTCTTATGGATAGAAGAGACAGATGACTTCCCACCAGGAAGGCTGTTATCCCAGAGTTGTGCTATTCATAGCTATAGCGCATCCAAAAATTCATGGTTTAATCTTAATCTCTGCCTTGCTTCAGATGTTGTCTACCTGCTGTCACCATCAGTCATGCTGTTTTCTCTTAAAAAGTTTTTTTTTTCTCATCAATAAAAATAAGCCTTCATCTCTCTTCCAACCACAAGAATACAGCTCTTGCTGTTTTTGTGGTCCTCAGGGGTTACATAGCCCTGAGCGAGCCATTCATTTTCTTAGTCAACAAATATTCACAGAGTACCTGCCTGTGTGCCGAACACTGATCTAGGGGCTTGAGATCCATCAGTGAATGAAACAGACACATAACCCTGCTCTCATAGAACTTACAGTCTGGCTGGGGGAGGCAGACAGTGCATGCTACAGATAACACCTAAGGGCATTCCAGAAGTATGGAGAAGTGTGAGAAGAATAAGGAGGATCTGGCAGGGCAGGGCTGAGGAGCACCCCCAGTTTCATTTTTAAAAATAGTGTGGTCTGGATAGACCTTACCAAAGAAAGGAAACCTGTTGTAGGCAGAAGGAGCAGTTGGTGTAATGGTCCGGAGCATGAAGCAGGCCAACATGGGTAGAAGACGTGAGTAAAGGGCAACATAAACAGATTAGGAGAGGCAGTGGGGGATCAGATGCCACAGAGGCCTTGAAGACCATTTTAAGGATTCTTTTGACTTTGAGTGATAAGTGGAGCCGTTGAGAAAGGCAATGGTGGGAGTTAGAACTAGTTCAGAGACTACTACAGTGGTCCAAGAGAAAAGTTAGGATGACTTGGATCTGGGTGGGTGCTGTGAAAGGGATGACACATAGCAGATTCTGGAACTATTTTGAAGGTCGAGCTAATGGGATTCCCTGACAGCTTTGGACATGAAATCTGAAAGAGAGGCATTAAGGATGACTCCCAAGGTTTTGGCCTGAACAACTGGAAGGATAGGGTTGCCGTCTATGGAAAAGACTGTAGATAGGGCAGGTTTAGGGGCACCTGGGTGGCTCAGTGGAGCATCTGCCTTTGGCTCAGGTCATGATCCTGGGGTCCTGGGATCAAGCCCTGCATAGGGCTCCCTTCTCAGAGGGGTGCCTGCTTCTCCCTGGGCCCCTCCCCCTCACTCATGCACTCGCGCGCTCTCCCTCTCTCTCTCAAATAAATCTTAAAAAAAAGAGCAGGTTAGGGGCAAGAACAGAAGTTTAATTTGGGCACAAGTGAAGTGTGAGATGTCTATTAACTATCAGATGGAAATACTGAGTAGAGTTTGGGAGAAAGATGTGAGTAAGAAATAGAAGTTTGGAAGTCCTCGGCATGTAGGTGGTATTTAAAGACTTTTTTTTTTTTTTTTTTTTTTTTTGTATTTAAAGACTTGATCCTAGAAGAGATCATCAAGGGAGTGAATATACACTGAGAAGTGGATCACGAAGTGATTCTTTTGGAGTACTATGTTTATAATACAACAACAACTCATGTATAAGTGGACCCAGGCAGTTCCTTGTGTTGTTCAAGGGTCAACTCTATGTCATAGTCAGTTATGACACGTAGCTGTAGGTGTATGTGTTTGAACCTGTCACTGTCCCAGAAAGCCATATGGAGCTATAGAGGTGGTATAATAGGAAGCAGAGAAAATGCTAGTTTTTTGAGTGTGAGGAGTATTGTGATAAAAAGAGAGTTTAGAGAATTTTGATATTAGCTTACTAGTCAAGGAAATAGCTGAAGATACTTGCAGTGTTTTTCAAAGTATGCTCCAGGGACCACTTCATCAGAATCTCCTGGGAGAGCTTATTAAAAATGCAGGTTTCTGGAGATGCAGGCTAACTACTGAATCCCTATCTCTACGGGTAGGACTGGATTCTGTATATTTAACAAGTTCCCCAGGTGACTTTTAAACACAGCAAACTTTGTGAACTGCTGCTCTAAAGATTTTGTTTGAGTAAATTATTCCTGACTGACGAGCTCTCCAGAACACAAGACTTAGGTGAAAAAATGGCATTTTAAATGTGAAAAACCCATGCTTAACATACACACTTCCAAATGTATGTAAGTTTTAAGAAGCTACATTTACAGTAGTAAATGTTCATGTATTTACATGTTCATGTAAATGTACAAGTAGTGTTCATGTGGCCTGATGTTAAATCTTCCTCAGTTGTTTCAGTGATATTTCTGGCGCCTGTGAAAGTTAATGGGTCCTTCTTGAGACAGGGGTTACCAAATCTGTTTGTTGCTTATAAATCCAGTTAAGTACCAGACAAGATGGCTGACAAGGTATAGCTGCCCCCATGCTTTCTGAGGTCTGTCTGAAGCCAGAGAAAGTAGGAACTAAGAAGACAGAGCTTGTGGAGCCCTGGCTGTTTTGCCCTTGGTTTTCTCTGAGGCTAGCCCCCCAAGCTGCGACTTTAAATCTCCCATGAGGCCTTACACCCATGTAGCTGGGAATCTTGGCACCATGCTTTTTTAGTCCTGCTTCCTTGGACAGTTGGAGAGAGGGACAGAGAAAAGCAAGTCAGAAATACAGGTTCTGTTCTGTTTTGTTTTGTTCTTAGTGTTGTCGTTTTGTTGTATTTTCATCGCTGTGACCACAAAGAAAGAATGAACTTAGGCATAGGAGAATCTGAAAGTGAGGGCCTCCCTGCTTTGAGTCGTGACAAGGAAGTGATGAAGTCCATGGTTTATTTTACTCTCTGCCTCCTTGGGGTAATGATTTTCATTACCAAAGCCCTCCCCACGGGTTTAGTATTTTACAAAGGCCACCATTTACTAGCTGATTTCCACAAGACATGCTTCTGCTGATGGACCATAAATTAATTTCTTCAGTGACCAGGCAGTCAACTTTGGGAACTTTGCATTCTAGAATTTGATCCCTTCTTCAGTCTTTCGGGCTATTCTATTCATGTGTAGAATTCTGAGTGCAAATTTGAATCTATATGGATCTTCTAACAACTTTCTGCAAACATTTAGCGAGTATTTATAATGTAAAAAGTACTTTGTATCAGACAATGATTAATAAGGCACCATCCTTGCCCTGGGAAAACAGACCAGTAATAGCCACTCACAATATGGGTTATAAGTGCTATGAAGGAGTAGGTCTGTAATATTTAATACAACATTTGAAAAGGAAGAGGTAATTTTTCTCTTAAAGAGAGTTGAAGGGATGCTGGAGAACGGGGGCGGGGTGGCTCAGGGAGGAGAGGATGTGGGGCTGGAAGGGAGCAAGGAAATGGGCCTGAGAATGTGAGAGGTGAACATGGGGGAGGTGGCTCCAGGCACCGGTGGGGCACATCCTCTTGCTGCTGGACCAGTAAGGGCCAGATGCCTGTCCTTCCTGCTGATGTGATTGTTGTGGTCACTGACCAGCCTCGTGAGTAGGAAGCAACTGTTCGATGTAGCTGGTTTGAGGAGTGTGTTTATGACATTTGTTTTGGGTACGTTTTCCCAGTGGGTTACCCTGGACATCTAAAGAATAAGAGATATTTTAATAAACTGAGAATAACTCCTCTTCATGTAGATTTAGAGCCTTAAGAGGGTGGTTGAACTTTTTCAACTTTAGACAGTGCACGCTTCTATCTTAAAACCATAGCATACCTGGTGGGTAGGGGAGGTAGGGGAAATGGGTGAAGGTGTCAAAAGGTACAAACCTGCAGTTATAAAATAAATCCTGGGGATGTAATACACAGTATGGCGTTTATAGTTAGTAATACTGTATTGTGTATTTGAACGTTGCGAAGAGAGTAGATCTTAAAAGTTCTCATCACAAGAAGCAAAATGTATAACTCTATGTGGTGATGATGGATGTTTAAATAGATTTATTTCAGTGATCCTATCGAATCATGTTGTACACCTGAAACTAGCATAATGTTGTAAGTCCATTATACCTTAATAAAAAAAACAAAACATAGCACAACTTTTGCAGGTTTTTTTTAAAACATTTGTAATAAGGCTGTAACCCTCATTTCTCTTCATTTAGCTATGGCAACATAAGCAATACACTCCGGTTTTTTGCAAAACTCATCACACACAAATGTGCGGATGTGGACAGGATGTTTGTTATTTCATACTTTCTCAGTGATGACACGATCTCAGTGTTTGAACCTATAGAGAGGAATTCAGGTAAGAGACATAGCTCTTACAGCAATTTTCTCAGAACAAGTAACTGTCTTTCTCTTGAAAGTTAGAGAGTGTAGTCTGATTTTATGGCCTAGATGACTAAGATGGTGGCTTTCTTTTCTTTTCTTTTCTTTTCTTTTCTTTTCTTTTCTTTTCTTTTCTTTTCTTTTCTTTTCTTTTCTTTTCTTTCTTTCTTTTCTTTCTTTCTTTCTTTCTTTCTTTCTTTCTTTTTTTCTTTCTTTCTTTTCCTTTTTTTCTTTTTTTGTAACCACTGGAGTTCATTTTCTAAAGATCTCTTAAATGGGAACCCAGACTTGTAAAATGATGAAAGAGGAACAGTTTGGTTGGCTCAGGGCTAGGGGACTCTGGATGCCTCCTCTTGGCTGTGGCCTCTGAGGTTCCTCTGTGGAATCCGGGGGTTTCAGAATCATGGTCTGTCTACCACTAGTTCCCTGCAAAGAAAGCAAGACAAAAGGAAATCTCTATTTTGGACAGTACCACTTACAAAATGTTTCCTTAACTATAAGACTCCCAGATTAACAAATTTTAATCTTCAGAGTCTGTCTTCCTCTGGTTTATCTGTCGAGGCTCATGCCAAGGTTCCAGCACTCAGGTCCACAGAATGCCTTGCTGTGGCGTGCCGATACAGTGGATGTTGCTGAGGGAGAGCCATTGATTTTTACTTCCTGAATTATGGAACTCTAGGGCTCTGCTCTTTGTCCTGACATATTTAAAACTGTTGTCTGTGCTGAAGACACTTTTGGGAAGAATGGTCAGTGGTGTGCTGGTGAATTGGCTCTCTGAAAAAAGTTTTAAAAGCCCTGATCTGTAACACTTGCCAGTTGTCACAGTGTAGATGCCTCACCATAGTCAATTTCAAGCAAGTGACACTAATGACTGGCTTGCAAAATCCCTAAAAATTTAGGTCAGCTCTTACAAGCTGATGGGAGCCACTCTGTGTACCTAAGTCAGGCTGCATAGTGATTTCAGTAATGAATCAGATCATAAAATATGAAATCAAATAGGAGTAAATAGAAAGTCATGCTCTTAAAGATCAAAAAATCAACTCTGGGAGTGCCTGGCTGGCTCAGTCAGTAGAGCGTGTGACTCTTGATCTCAGGGTCGTGTGTTCAGGTCCCATGTTGGGTGTGGAGCCTACAGGAAAAAAAAATCAACTCTGTACATCTAAGAATAGGGAAAATTATGGCCAGATGACAGCCTTTATAAAACAAGGTGATAGAAGTCAATTACAAGCTTACTAGTAATAATAGCAACCACGATTACCTATCGTTACCTTAGAAAAGCTTCATGTCATTAAATTTTGTGTTAGTCTAGATCCTCCAAGGGGTGAGCTCCAAGATGGGACTGAATATACAAAAGATGCATTAGGGAAAATGTTGGCAAGGGAAATTGTGGAAGGAGCCAGAAGAGGCCAGGAGAGCTGTTGGACTGCTGTGTGTATCTGACTCCTGTGAAGGATAGCAGGAAGGAAGAATGAGAGTCTTAGATTGCAGGGAGAGTCTAATCACATTTAAGCAAGGCTGATCAGGAACCCAAGAGCTGAAATCACTAGTTCAGGAGCCTCCATCTTGTAGGAATGGGCCTGCCTTGGTATTCTTGCCTTATCCAGGCATTTGTTGGCAGCAGCCTGTGGGAAAGCATGACCTCAGTCCAAACCCAGGGATAGGTGTCAGAGCATAACCACTAGGACCTTTGTCACCTGTGTTCCCCACAATAGGTGATCTGAAAGGCACATTTCGTCACTCCTTACAAATTTTATTCCCATTTTACCAGTGAGAATTCAGAGGGGTTCCGAGAGATTTAAACTCCTAAAGATCATCCAACAAGCAACAGAGCCAGGATTGGCCTCCAGCTCTGTTTGGCTCCAGAGCCTCTGTCTTTCCACCACCTCTAGTTTTTGAATGTGGCAGGCGTGTGATGAAGCTGACCCCCAGAGCTCATCTGGCTTCAGGTTATATTCAGATGGCTGAAGGTTTCAGTTCAGTATCAATGAGAAGATACTGGAGATCCATCTTCAGTTCTGCTTGCTGCTTTCCAAGAGGCAAAAACAAAACCAAAACCAAATAAACAAAAACCACCCACCCAGATAACCCACGAAAGAGAGCAGATGGAATGGTCAGAATTCTGGAAAGCAATAGATATGTGGCATTGCTAAAAGAAGCGAAGAGATATTTAGCCTATAGAGGAGAAAAAGTTGTGGGACTCGCAGATTTATCTTCAAACCGTTAAGTAAGCTCCTTTCTAGAAGCAAGGCATCTTAATCTTACACTTAATCTGAGCGTTGGAATAAATTTAAGACCTCATCGGGGACAAGAAGGTGGAAATAAGCTCAAGTGGGCAATTTTCCATGTGGTACTGTTCAGACGTGCTCTGAAGCAGCGTATCTTCCTAATGTCCTGGTTCTCTGTATGCTGCTGGGCATATAGCAGGCGCTTACTGTTTATTTAAGTGTTTGGATTGGGAAGGGAGTAGAGAGAGGAAAGAAAAGGCTGGAATGCCATACTTTTTTTTTTCTTTTCTTTACACATTCACCTAGGGAGCCTATTGTTCCCCCACTGCCTCATTCTTCCCTCAGGTCTGAGAAGAATAGGCAGTGTGAGTTCACAAGCTCACTTGCCTGGCCTGTGTTTGAGCATGAAGGAACTCTAAAGGCAAGTTGTATGGTTCTTTGAAGAAGAAAGGCTACTCATTAACTTTTCTCTTTTTCTATAGGGATTACTGGTGGGAAGTTCTTGAAAAGAATTCGTGTTAAGAAGCCTGGACAAGAGGTCTTTAAAAGTGAACTATCCGAATATATCAAGGCCGAGGAGTTGTATATTGGGGCCACAGTGAACGTGAATGGCTACCTGTTTCTTTTGCTCAACGCCGACGAGTATACCTTAAACTATATGGAGACGAATTCCGACATGGTGAGCTGTGTAATTCTCGACTTGCCCCTTAGCGCCCTGCAGTCTGTGTTTTTCTTTCTCCAGGCCTTTTTGTCTTCATCCTGCCACCAGTTTTACATTGTGCACTCACACATGTGGCCATGAATAATGGATCTGCGCGAATAATGGATCTGGCCCCAGGTCCCGGTCTACTGTTTACCCGCAGGGTCCTCGGGGCACTGCCCAGCAGCACAGGGGTGCCAGGCACAGGCAGGAGGCAGAGCCCAGGGTTGAATCAAGTTTCCTGGTTTTTTTGCTGACGCTGACAGTGCTTTCATAAAGAAATTCAGCAGCTATAGGAAAGGAAGAAAATCTGGTGCCACACACTGTGCTGTCCCTGTTAATTGGCACAGGCCTACACGGAAGGCCAAGCGCTGAACAAACAGAAACCCCAAGGGAACCTGAGAGTTGCTGGGCTTGCAGCTTTCCATAACAGGAGCTACCTGAGGCCTGAATAAGAGTTCAAGGACAAATTGGCAGCAGTGAGCTCAGAGAATTTTTTTTGTTTGAAACAAGATGGCAGATGGGTACTGTTCCTAAAAGCACTAGTATGGTGGTGCTGTTCTGTCAAACTAATGTTTCGATAAAATCTTGAGTTTTTTAAGTGTGGACCGGTTTGGTGTGCAAACATGTACATTTGAGAGACATTGCCTAATAGTGAAAAATCCACCTAGAAACAATTACTTTTTTAAAAATTTTATTTATTCATGAGAGAGACAGAGAGCGAGGCAGAGACATAGGCAGAGGGAGAAGCAGGCTCCCTATCAACCGCTGAGCCACCCAGGCATCCCTAGAAATGATTTATTTTAAAAGTCTGCCTCTAAGTAATAATATTTATGTGCCAATTATATCTATACTTCTATATCTATATATCTATATCTATACACAGTACCAGTTCCGTTTCATTTATATATAAAATGCTCAAGGGTAAGTTGCTAAGACCAGTCTCTCTGTGTTTATCATATCATCCTGACTGTTTGGGTCCTCTGAGCAGCAGGTACCAAGGCTGAGTTAGATAAGCAAGGGATGTCCTGGGAGAAATGCATATGAAGGATCAAAGAGGATCCTTTGAGCAAGAGTAGGTGGGGAGCCTGAGATGTAGGTCTGACTCCTGAGAAAAGAGAGGGAAGGAAGGAGAGGTGGGTGCAGGAAAGGCCTCAGGACAAGGAAGGAGAGGTGGGTGCAGGAAAGGCCTCAGGACACGGTGCAGCTCTGAGAAAGTGTCAGCCAAGCCGATGGGGAGGAGGAGCCTGGGAGCAAAGGCTGCTCACGGAAGTGCCGCAAGTGCCATGTCAGGCTGGAATGGCCCAGCTCTGGTGCCCCTGTTGCACTGTCGTTGGGAGGAGAACAGCCTGGGCAGAGTATGGCCGAAGGTATGGCAGGTGGGGGCCGTCAGCTTTTCTCTGCAGCCTCTCTGGATAGTAGGCCCAGACAGCACCTTCCAGCACCGCCACACCGATTCTCCTTTCGCAGGGTTAGGACTTGGGCTTGTCGTAAAACCGTGAACTGGTAGCCCTTCAAAAGCACTGAATTCAGTCAAGAGGCTCAATAATAGGGCAGTTAGATTGCTGGAGACCAGCAGGCTCGGCTGGGAAATGTGGCTCCATGCTTCCTGACTGAGAGGCTTGAGACCCGTATTTTCCCTGAGCTCCACTTTGCTCATATCTACACAGCTGACCCGTTTCAGAGAATTAACTACGAAGAGGAGATGCAGTCATGTGTGTGAAGCGCTTAGCTCTGGGTGGCCCATAGCAAGCTTAGGGTACAATTTGCAATAGCTATTGTGAATTAGTACTCGATTTTCAAACACAGGGTGAACCTATGTGTTAACATCCGTGTGTGTGTGTGTGTGTGTGTATATGCATATATGTACTATATATGTATATACGTATTGTAGGTGTGTATTATATATGTATATATGTATTATGTATATACATGAATATGTTAACATACTATATATGTTATCGTATAGTTTATATAAATAGTGTGTGTATGTGTATATATATATGTGTCTTTGATATAAAGGGCTTTTCTACTTTCAGAAAGATAAAAGCAGGGTAGGACATTAACTGGTATTAGCATCTCAAGTGAAAACTGCATTATTTTAAAACTACCCTTAACAAGGGCTTTCTAAGCAGAAAAAGATTAATATACTCTTTTTTTTTTTTTAAGGGATGGAGGCACGGAGGGAGAGGGAGATAGAGAATATTAAGCAGGCTCCAAGCCATGCACTGAGCACGGAGCCTGATGTCAGGCTCGATCTCACAACCCTGAGATCATGACCTGAGCTGAAATCAAGAGTCAGCCTCTCAACCAATTGAGCCCCCCAGGGACCCCAAGATTAATATACTCTTTAATATCTTTGCAAAAGAGCTAATAGATCCAATCACGGAAATAGATGAAAGGCAACGCAGAACGGTGGGGCGGGTTGGGGTCTGTGATAGGTCTCAAATCCCCTGGTGGAAGAGAGACCTCTATACTAAATTAACATCAATGTTTTTAATCTTTCATGTGTAATCCTCTCTCTCTCTCTCTCTCTCTCTCTCTCTTTAAGCTCTTAGCTGTAATTATTTACAAGCTTATACTTTACTGGATTGAGTAAGAAGTATTTTTATAGAGTCTAAAACCTAATCACATGGTAGGAGGCAGGAACTGGGGGCTGCCAGAGAGCGAAGGTCGGGGATTCCAGTGCATATGGATCTCTTGACACCCAGCTGTGCTCTGTTCCCAATAGTCCCCAGGGGGGCCCACTCTTGAGATCGGGAGAAAATGAGGGTCCACTTATCCAATTGTGAATCCCCATCCTCTCCATTAGGGTCTCCCAACATAGTCCAAGGGTTCAGGTGAGAAGGCTGAGGGATTGTTTTCTGATTCCTGCAGTTTACTGTCCCTTAAGCTCGTTTTCTCAGATCTGGGCCTATGCTGATGTTGCTCATTGTCCTAAAACTGCAACTGAAGAGATTTAATTCTAGTGGTGTTTCCTCTGCGTTGGTCTCTATGGACAGCCATGCCCAGCTGTGCTCAGGTTCAGAGTGTGAAGTCTCTTTGCTGGCCATCAGAAAGATTGGGCTCCCTATGTCTCAGGCATGTTTTAATATCCTTCCTTTCCTTTCCCCCTTCTAGTTTCCCATGAGCAGCATTGAACTTATCTTACAAAAGCTGAAAGAAGAAGAATCAAAATCCAGAGAGATCAAGCAGGTATTTACAGCCGCTGACTGCAGGCACACAAAGATGGTGGATTATAATACATTCAGGTAAGCCAGATGCTGCCAGCAATAATCTGTTTTCCCTTCAAGATTGTCTAAAGAGCAAAGAACAATTTCTTCCATAGTGCTGCCTAACTAATTTACTACATGCTTTTTATTAGGACTTGACATTTCTTTGTGTTTGTACTAAGTTGTGATCAAGTTCGGCCCATTTCTGGTAAAGTTTTTTCATTTGCATATAAAAGAAGCTTATAGGCAAGAACAGAGACAAAAGCATAGAAAGTCAGTTCTCCTTGTCTCGTGAATCATGGTATTGAAGGCTCCAGGAATGCTGGGAGGAGTGCATCCGGGTGAGAAAGGCAGAAAAAAAATGCAGTGAAGGGCACCCTTCTGAAATCTGGGGAACAAAGGGAGAACAGCTTCCTAGGAATGTGACCCATTTGGAGAAGACTGTGGAAACTTCCCTGATTTTTCAGAGAATAGGTGATATGTATGCATCTGGGTGTAGGTGTGCTTACACACCTCTGTGTGTTTTGAAAAACAAAAATACAGAAATCAAAAGAAAATAGATGACAGTAGTTAGAACTCTAATAAGAAATCATGAGCTTTGGTGTTTTTTCTCTAAGGTAGAGTTGAATTCTGGGACTGTCCAGTGGCTGACCTGGGCAAATTGCCAAACAGTGGAAACACAGGAAAATTCAAATTCAGGATCTAGTACAATTGTGAGACTTCTTAGCCTGAAAACAAAGTGAATGGAGTGTTCAGGAGAATGTAAATTAAATCATGGATGTGAGGACAAAGGGGACTTTCTCTTTAGGCTGAGAATTCTAACTCCTGAAAACAGTAGTGGCCAAGAGCTATATAGGAAATTTGCTGGAGTCAAGATGTGGGCTGACCAATGAGGAATTGACCTCAGGAGACGGGGGCAGGGTGGGGCTGTGTTTGAGGGGGTGTCTTTCCAACTTTGTGTCTGGAGTTGCCTGTTCCATCAATACCTGGTGACTTGAGGCCACCATCAGACCCGAAGTGTACCCCAAACTCATTTGTTTTAACAAAGCTCTTTTGTGTCTCCAGAATGTTCTTTTGAGAGAAACAGTCAGGACATATTTTTATTGTTTCAAATTGCCAACCTTCTGGGATCAATAAGAATTTATAGCTCTTTGTTATTGTTCATGGTTGTACACATGTTCATGGCCTTTTGGAAAATACGTGGAGACAGAGGAAAGAGCAAAGACAATTGCTCAGGCTGGGGTCTAATGGCAAGCAGTGGAGGAGGAAACAAATTTCCATCAGAAATGAGGGAGTGGTTTCATTTTGTTATTTTGCATCCTTTTACAAAAGCATCCATTGGCCAACACATCAGTGCAGTCTGTTGGAAACACTTTAGGGAGTTTATGGGACTTTCTGAGAGGCACGTAGGCCCGGGCAGGAGATCCAAGGAGGAAAAGTTCTCTGCAGATGGAGGCCTGACCCTGACTGTGGGTGGAATAAAGGGCCACCAGGCTCTGTGATTGAGGACTGCCTTAAGGCAGTGCCTGCTCAGAAAAAACCAGCCCCTCACCCCCATCTTTAGGCCCTCTGCTGGCCAGGAATTCCTTAAGATGGAAACCAGATCGGGTCATGCCCGGCCTGCAGAACCCTTCAGTGGCTTTGGTGCAGCCTGCTGAGTCCCAGTGATGTGACTCTGTTTGTGTTGCCAGTGTTAATCACTTCTTGTTCCCCAGCCTTGGCCTCTGGCCCTGCTGGCTGCCACTCAGTTTCCCAAATGTGTCAAGCTCTTTCCTGCCACTGAGCCGATGCACACACCCTTCCTTCTGCTTAAAATGCCCACACCCCAGTTGTTTCTAGGGCAAATTCGAAGGCTCACCTTCAATGGCACTCCTCCTAGCCCACTCCCCAACAGAGGCTTGCTTTCTGCTTCTCCTGCCTAAAGTGGATCACTCCCTGTTATCTTTAGCCTTTTGTTGCTCTTTTTCACAGCATTTAGTACATCTTGCAATTGCTTTTATTGAGACATTGGTGCCAGGGGCATTTGCACCTGTGTGTCTCCTGTTCGAACAGGAACGGCCTGAGGGCCAGGGTCCTCCTTGGAACTGTTCGAGGGCCCATCCCTGGCACCTAGCCCTGGGCTCAGTGACTGTCTCAGTTTCCAAATGGAATGAGGAACTGCTAGAATTATTCTTGGGCAGGGGTGGGGGGGGGTGGGGGGGTTGAGTTTGGAGGTGGTGGTATTGCCTCCAGATGAGAGTGTGGGTCAGAAGTCAGGACATCCTGGTCTACGTGACATGTTGGGGTCAGGCACTGTGCTTTCTGTCCTTGGCCCTGGCTAGTGGGGTCCCTAGCTCGGAGTCTTCACCTTTCTCTCATGCTCCTTACACCCTTTCCCCGGGGAAAGGCAAAGGAGCCATACCGCTGGACACCGTCACACCGCACCAGGTTTAGCACTGGGTGCTCTCCCTAGCTCCTGGTTTCCTTTTCTTTTAATTTTCGTGTGCGTGTTGGGTGTACTCTGGCTCTTCTCACCTGATCATAACCTCTTTGAGAGTAGGGACCTTTGCCTTCTTCTTTTCTGCTTTACCCTTCCCACTTCTTACAGAGCCTGACAAACAGTAGGATCTTAATGAAAATCCATTGAGTGGCTACATCTTACCAGCCCTTGCTGCTTTTGACTATTACCTGGGGGCTGACTTCTGCATATTCGTTGCTCAAGCTCAGACCTTCTTCCTGAGGTATAGATCTGGAAAGACTAATGCCATCGGGATGCCCTCTCTGCCCCCCGGAACCCTTGGATGTCCCTTAGGCATCTCAAAATAACTTTATCTACATTAACCTCATTTTTTTCCTCCCATAAAGTTGTAGCCCGGGAACCTATCTTGGTAAAGGCCACCATGCATATCCTACCATTCATGTGGGGCTCTCTTGAGAACTGTGCAGCTAACTCTCCTTCTCTTTACCCCCATCCACCCACTCTACCCCCCAGTTTTGCCAGAGCGACCTTCCTACAATCTGATGATTTCTTTCCTCTACCCTCAACCCTGCATCCTCATTGTGTCCAGAGCTAATCCCATTCTCTCAGTATCTGTGTGAATTTGGTCACAGTCTGACCCTTGTCCACCCCTCCCCCTTATATTTATAATCTTACTAGAAGAAGGCTTTTGTAGAAGCCACCAGTGATCAAGTCCTTACTGTAGGCCAGACATGGTGTTAAATGCATTTCATCTCCTAGCCATGGGTTCCCCTCTGCCCCATTGAGTTGTAGACTCCCTGGCCTCCACTGTTGGCTCCCTCCGAGTTCTGTGGATGTTTGTTGAATCATCTAATGAGTGGTCCTGTTTCTCAGGAATGTTCCATCTGTTGCAAGTCTGCAGTGAGCAAGCAAATAATTGACTGCCTTGCACTGGGGAAGGGCGGGCCGTCTCTGACTGGAAGGGAGTCTGGAGCTAGGCCTGACCCTCACTAGCCAAGCAACCTGGGCACCTTGCTTTGCCTACCTGCACCTCCCTCTTGCCCATATCATGGTCTCTGTGGCCCTTTCCAGCACTGACGTTCTGAAGCGCTCAAAATGTCAGTTTATAAATGCACTGGTAAGGTGTTTCCCTTTGGCAAATATGTGCATTGCAGGAGTAGGCAGGCAGAGACAGGACTCTGCCGCCAGGCCTCCAGGCTTCACCTCTGGGCCCCAGGTCTCTCTCCCCCGCGTTGGCACCTGGCACCCTTCTCGCACACCTGGGGACTTAGAGCCTCGACTTGTTCCGGGGGCAGCGGTCCAAGCCTTTCCCTGTCTCCTTGGAGCTTTGTGCCTCTCTCAGGGGAAGCCAGGGCATGGGGGCTAACCAGCCACTTCAGCAGGAGATGCCTCAACTGGTAACAGATGAACAGAATCACGTGGGGGCCTTCTGGAATGACCTGAATGGATGCGGAGACAGGTGGGAACAGGAGAAGGTTGGGGAGGAAGTGTTCCTCTTCTGCCTTGCAGGGGTCGCCAGTTCTGCCTTTCCCGAGTCCGTCATCCCAGGACCTATCTTAGTCCCGCCTTTACCAAGATAGGTTCCTCGGCTGCAAGATAGGAGAGTGCAGAGAGCCTTCTTCAGAGCCTCAGATACCTCATGAGCAGATATCATGGGCAGGGAGGTAGGCAGGGACTAGGCTTGGCAGGCCCAGTGCTTTGTGCAACTGGGAACATGGTTGGGTGAGGCTTCCCCATGTGGGCCCTGGATTCTGAACTGTAGGCTGCAGCAATAGCAGCAAGGACCCCATGCCAGGGAAGATGTCTTGGCCAACCCCTCTCTCTGGCCACCTCCCTAAGCCTCGAGCTTCAGCTTAGAGATGACCCCTACCCCAGGTAGCCTGCATATGTTTCGGTTTTCTGCATGCTTACCTTTTCTCCCCACTGGGGCAGAGTTCCCAGAGGGCAAGGCCCACACCTGACTCACCCTGGTGTCTTTCCCAGCTCCCTCCTGGACTCAGGGTCTCAGGCCTCAGAGCACATAGGAAGTTACCACATAGTTCTTAGATGCCCATTGTAGGGTCAATTGTAGGGTCTGGAGATTTCTTACAAATGTCCATGTAATAAATGTCTTCTAAGATTTAGAGTCTCGAGAAATTTTTTTCTCTTATAAAAGTAAAATTCTTCCTGGGAGAGGTAGTACACTATAAATGCATCTGATTTTGGACATGCTGTCCCAAATCCAAATCTCAGCTCTACTATTTGTCACCTTGGCAGCCATAAGTTGCTGAACAATGTTTTCACCTGTAAAATGGGGGTAATGATATCCACTCTGTAGAGCAGTTGTGATGAGTAAATCTGATAATGTAAAGAAAGTTCTTACTGTAGCATGCTGTGGTGTATAGTGGATGCTAGAAAATGAAAACCCTTTGTCCCAATAGTTGCCACTTCGTGTTACCAAAAATAGCGATAGAAATCTATGTCTTATTTTTGATATTTCAATTAAGTTATAGTTTTATCTATGATGAGGTCATTGAAAACATTCTTTAGGGGCACCTGGGTGCCACAGTCCATTGAGCATCTGACTCTTGGTTTTTGTTAA